ACCGAATGGAACCGAACCCGAACGGTTCCAAAATTATATTTGGAACCGACGGTTCCATTTACTAAAGAACCGAAAATTTCTGGAACCGAAAAAAACCGAACCGAACCGACCCGCGCCTACCCCTACCGGTGATCGAGCTAATTCATGCAGGTAATGAAGTAGATTCTCTAGTTTTCACCATCTTAACTTGCAACCTCTGCATGAACTCTGGATTAGCTTTAAGTCTCTCTTTGATGATTGAAGTTCCAGCGTCCTCCACCAGTTTCCGAGCTTTACCTGCCTCCTCAATCAATGCAAAGAGAGTCCGGAGGCAATCCTTTCTGTTCTCCTCACGGTGTTCAAACCTGAGTAGATAACAAAATGTTAAAAATAGACAAAAATGTATAGGTTGATAATGCATAATTGAAGAATAGACCAAATTCCACAAAGCTGTGAGCAATTAAAAAAAAGATACAGAATCTAGACTATGGCTGATATTACATAGTTCTATTAACACTTATAATCATCCAAAATAAGAGGAAATTTCGTAAACGAGAATCGGATGCTACATAATTTCACAAGACATTTAAGCATTATCATGGTAAGTCATTGACGAGAAAAAGCATCACTATATCTGCAACTGAGTTACCTCTCACTGGTTATGGTAAGTTCATCTTTTCCTGGATTGTATCGGTTTCCTGCTAATTCTCTTAGTCGGCAGAATTGATGCTTTGACAAACCGAGCTCTTTGACAGTAACAGCCAATTTTACTTTTCTATTTTTCGGGTGCCATGCATCACCACCCGGAGCAAAGACCACACGTGTTTGCCACCTAAGAATTGGGCCCTCACCTGGTGGGTCATCAAGATCTTTTTTCTTGTCGGGTATAGCAGTCTCATCAAATTGTTTAGGAGCCTCAGCCTCCATCAGTTTAGCACATTCCAATACCATTTGGTCTTCAAACTCCTTAAACAATGCATAGCCTTCTTCAACTTCAACTTCACCTTTCTCGATCCTATTTGCTATCTCGTTAAACTTCTTTTTCACCTTCTTTTTTATCTTGTCTGAGAAATGTTTGTTAAATGATAAAAGTCAACTCAAATTATAAACAGAATCTAAGAAATATTGGAAAAAATTACACAATGTTTGATAGAGGAAAAATGTGCATGTAATGATCCATGAAATTGTATCACTATGCTATAACCCTCAATGACAAATGCATATATCATTATCATTTCAAACATACTAATCTAGCATGTTTTAAGATGAAATTAAGGACTTCGAAAATTTAGGACAAGTAAATACGGTATTGTTTGAGGAACATTAGTATTGCTTGTTCCCGTACAAAAGTAACTTTTTGTCTATTAGATTATAGATTGCATGGGACAGTTTCGTTTGAATTCAGATTTCAATTATATCACGGGTAAAACCATATGCACATATACAAAAGCCAATTATATAGCAATACGGGAAAACTTCATTTGCATGCATTTTCTTATTAGTTAGGACAATTACTAAAAACCCATCTGAAGTATAATTACAAGTATTCCTCATTTGCATTTCTTGAGGTTGTTTGTGGTAATTTATGAAGTGTTTTAAGTTCATAAAATGTTGCAATGGTGGTATTTTCATGTATCCTGGAATTTAAAACAGAAAAATAAGTAGAATATAACTTTTTGTACGAGAAAATGGTAAAGTAGACCAAATGAAATGTAATAATATATTTAGTTTACATCAACAGTATAACTCGAGAAAAAAGAACTATAATGCAAAGGTGCAAGCGAAGAAGAATGAAAGCAAGATTGACATGTCCCAAAAATCAATGCCTTTTGAAAGAGCGAAAAGTTTATGATGAAATCCAAAAACCACCATGAAAATTGAAATCAAAGAATTTCTGAAAGTGCGAAAAGGAATAGATCTATTACCAGGTAGAAGTTTGTCCCAGTTAAGCATGTCCTCTAGTATTGCCTCGCACTCCCTAGTATCCTTCAGATACCCATGTTCGACAGCCTCTGCAATCATGTCATCCCACTTCTTGTCATCCATATTAAAGTACGGATCACCTGCCATTTTCTTCACCACAATATCCCTTGCATTGTACAAATCATCAATCTCTTCATCCGTTTCATAAGCATCCTCAAAATCTGATTCAAAATCTTGGTCTTTAACATTATCTATCGGCTGCATTTGAAGATCTTCCATCAACTCATCATCTGTGTCGTCATGCTTATTAGAAAGACTCCTTTTTAGAATACTCTCAAAGATTAATGGGAGTGCTTCCTCGTTGCCATTCTTGAAGTAGTCCTCTATCTGCAATTTTAACTCTGCAAACATAATATTACAAATAAAGCTGCAAGTTAGTTCCCGTCAAATATATGACGTGTTTCACGGTCTTACAAGGAAGGAAGCTGTTACAAATTCAAGGAAATTCAGATTTATACTCAAGAACTTAAATCTTGATAGTTAAAACATTTTGATTCAAGAAAGATTGGACTAGCAGTAGTAAGTCCATGATGACTCATCAACCGAATCAAGTAGTGCATCAAAAGACAACAGCCTTCTTATCCGAATTCAGAACAGCACATTGTGCAATCTACTTAATCGGTTTTCAAAAAATACAACTACTAAAAGCCTAGTCGATAGAGCTTGAAACAATTAATTAACTGAGCAATCATAACAGGAATCAAATTACAATTTAACATTTTCAATTTTCTCCAACGTTAACGATGCAGGCATTCCTCAATAATTCGTTATAAACAATCTTATTAATCAATTAAAAAAATCATTTTTCTTCTTGAAAACATTGAGCTTCAAAAAACTACACAATACATCAAGATACAATGTAGTTTCCCTCGATCTCAAATGTAAATTAGATGAACTAGGAAATAAATCCCACTATTTCAACCCACAAAAATAAAAAAATACATTTTTCAATCGGTGGGCTCTCACCTTTGTTGGATACATCTTGGACCTCGACAGCCACTTGTTTCTTCTCTTCGGTTTGGACGACATTAGATTCGGATAAATCCTGGTTCGTCTCTGCAGTTTCTTTTGTGATATCATTTTCAGATGAAAAAAATCAAATTCTCAAAGAGAAGCAACTGATTTGCGTTACATTACTTGTACTGAAATTGGTACTTCCATTGCACATGATCACCCTTTTCGATTCGTGTTTGTGACAAAAATGGAGATTACGGACATAGAGAGAGAAATTCCTCAACAAAACCCTTCTCATAGTGATAGTTCTTTAGGGTTTAGGCTTTCAAGATTCAATTGAGGTATTGCGAGTTGTTAGACAATGGAGAATTAAATGAAATCTTAATTATAACCCATCCATTTATATGCATTGGTCACTTAACTTCAATTTATTTCAATTTAACCTTCTAACTTATATTTTTATTTCAATTTGACCATTTCGGCCATAAACTAACTAGTGGAGTTCATGACCCAACCTATAGTTTAGCAACACAATTTGGTGTTTTATCAATTTATCTTTTCTATTGAGATATTACAAATTCAACATATTCCGCACATTATTTATTCACATGGGTGAACAATGTTTATTATGCTTCATGTCGCTTTACGACTAAAATATTATGAACACGTGGATGAATTTTGTTACGTCACTTTACGATTAGATTAAATGTGACCATAATAATAATAATAAAAAAAATTAAGATTCATGAAATAATTCTTAACACTACTCTTAATCTACATATTTGAAATTGAAAGACATAATAAAAAGCCACTGATAAAGTATACATTACGTAGTTAATTCTTCAAGCCACCGATAAAGTATACATTACGTAGTTAATGTGATTTTTATCTAAACCAAACAGGGGATTTATTTTTTTTTCTTTATTGTCATTCTTTTGTTATAATTTAAAATAAGTGCTTGTCTGTCTCCCATTTTGGGAGAAGAAATAGAGTTTTAAATAATATTTTTTGAAAAAAGTGTGGTTGAAAAGTAAAGTAATTTTATTGATTTGTGTGTAGAATATTTTATTGAGTGAATATGTGGTGAAGATTATTTACTGTAATAAACAATGTTTGATAAAATTGATAATAAACATGAGATATATAAGAATAAGCTTTTTATGGAATTTGGATGTATATAGGTATAGGTTAGACTGACTTGCAAATAGGACTTATCTATTTCTAGCAAAACTTATTAAAACATAGTCTTTAAATAAATAAAAAAAGTTGTGCTAAATTTACACCAAATTTATTACCTAATGGATTACACCTCCTCACATGGAGGGGTACCCACGAATCCATTAGGTAATGGATTGTGTACATTGACCAAAAATTTCACAAAAATTCCACACACTTGAATTCATCAAATTCACATATCAACAATCTACGCCGTCACAAAACAAAAGTCCGTCAAACAAATGACGGGCTAAATTCACAAAAAAAGGGCAAAAAGGTTTAGAATTTCAAGTTACATTTTCAAAATCAAAACTGCTACATCAAAATCCCACATCACAGTTACCATTACTACATTAGACCATTTAATCTTTTGAAATCATGAAAATTTTAAAATAAATAATTTTCATAAACCCTAACATGTCTCAATCTATCATAAAACAAAAATTTTACACAATTTGAATAACCAGTATTTACAATCTTCTCCCTCACAAAAATTATTATCATTTCTTGATGGTGTTTACTTGAAATTTGATTACCTTTTAGGGTTATTTCGGTTTAACTCTTAGCCCATGTTTGGACCACATTTTTTTGTTGAATTACATGAAAATGGAACGTTATATTGTAAGTCTCCTGACAAATTGCAGGCCATTCATTGTCCAAATAGTACCTGCTCCAAAATGGTTTGCCAATTTTACCCTTATCCCCAATCTTCATCACCGACACATTTGGGAAAAAATAATTGTTCGCTTTTCTTTAGCTGCAATTACGACAAACATAGCCACCACTTCCATTTTTCCGGTAATCATTGGAGCAACTGCCTTCTCTACCTTCTCCAGTGCTTCACCCAACTCCGGGACTTATCGTTTATTTCACAGATTTGCCAATTTCTCTTGGGTTTCAAGTTGAATTTGCTCTCTCCAAGAACTGTAATTGCGACAAGCCACAACCACCATCTCCATTTTTCCGGTAAGAATTGGAGCAATTGCCAGCCCTTCTCCACCTTCTCCCATGCTACAAACCAACTCCCGGTGTCACGGGCAGCAGCCATAGTTAAGCCCCGTGACGCTATTGCAGTCGCTGCACTTCGACTGCACTTTGTAAATATTTCATTTAATTGTAAAATAGTTGATAATTAGAAAATTTTAGTATGATTCCTCGGCCAAAAGACGTCTACTCCCGTCATTTGGGTTTTTGTTGCTAAGTCTATTATAGGGGGTATATGACTTTCAAACATCTTTCAAGCTTTTCTAGTGTTCGCCCCCTGCAC